AGACCTAAAAAAGTTTAAAGATTTCTCGCTCGCATGTTGCGTTCACCAGCACGCAATTCAAACAATGTAAATAGATGAAACGATCGATAACATTTTTTACTTGATACCGATGTGAGTTAAAAATTCGCTCCACTTCTGTTTGTCTCACCCAAGACTAACTTTTCTTCATGGAAACTATGCCGCTTTATAACTCGTCCGAGGTTTTTGTGCCAGCTAAACAATATGGAAACACTATTCACAGTGACTCCTTGGATATTAAAAAGACTGAACGTGACGCATTATTATGCCTTTGTTTACTTCGGATCACATCTTCAAGCGAAGTCTCTCTTTTGAAGCGATTCATCTCAATGCACAATAATTGACCCTTATATTAGTTAAAACCCTATGGTTCATTTATATTAATGCTGTTTTTGCCCCTCACATTGACTGTGTTCGTTCGTATTCAAAACACCTTTAGGAAAATAAAGGTCATATAAGTCATGTGTGTTATGTTTCGAGGTAAATGGATTATACGCTTTTTTAAGTTTCCATTTTGCGGTGACTTCAGTTTACATCTCCATAAAATGGTAAAAGAAATATCAAGAAACATCACGAGAGCTCAAAATTTTCAAAGGCATGTTTCTGAAACTCGCTAATGCTGACATCAACATAGCGTGCTTGCTGAATGGGCGAAAACACAGAATTGTGATCACAAGATCTTGTACAAATTTAATAACAAAAGCTTAGCAAGATACAGATACAAACAACAGCAAACCCCCTGAAATCTCGACGTGGGCTACACTTGTATGCTCTACTCAGTCACCAAACCTTGTCAGTAATAGCTCCTATTTTCCTCAAGTCGCTCTCTGTGAAGCTCCCGGATGGGATGTCCCGGAGAAGCTTTAAACTTGTGTGCGAAATTCTTAGAGTTCCTATTTTTGTCTGTGTCTTCTTTATCCTCAGTATCCGAAATTTAGATCTCCAAAGTGGCGTGTGTTGCATTAAATAGAAGGAAATCTTTAAAGGAAAAGCCAGTCTTCTAACATGGCAAAGTTGTCACGTCCCTCGCTTATGGACGTGCCTCACATCAGGATTCATCTGCCACTCATCGGCAACTGAGTTGTTCGCTTCGCTGACTATGACGGCTTACAATTAAGTCTTCAGCCATAGTGTCGTCAACTGGTGAAATACTTTGCTGCTAAATTGTGCTTCTTAATTGCTCATGTACTACATCGATCGATAGTTCACGAAGCAGCCACGGCGTTCCAAACCTGACGCTCACAGTCATCTTTTCTGTCTTTTAGTGTGAATCTACCGTGAACGGCGTGTAGGTTTGAATGCAACGCGAGCATTTCTCTGAGTTTCCCAGCGCCAACATCATCTAACTGACTTAAACTCGAACAATAAAAAAACAAGAATCACTTCGTGAATTTTACCGTGCCCACTTTTGTCTTGGCAACCCACGTGGAAGGGTCGTTTTCATCAACAAGTTTGTCGGGCAACATGAAAATCTTTTTTATTGCAAATATTCTTTAGAGATGAAAACAAGGTGTAATGAATAATGTGAAAAGAGAAAATGTTAGGGAATCCCCCATTTTGAACAGTTGAGAGTTTTCGCATGTCGCTAACGTAAATATTGCTTGACAAAGGTTATGTGAAACAGTCTTTCTTTGGTTTTTCATTAGTTAAAGCAGTGATAGACTTTCTATATTTGACGAGGTTTCCTGAAGCGAGAGCGAATTGTAAGGTATTGAAACGCACAAACAAAGTTTCGCGCATGCAAGTTTAATAAGTTAAGATTTTTGTTTTGTTGTAGTGTACACAGTTCAACAGCGACTAAACTAAGTCACTGTTAGGATGAATACTGTAACAGTATTTTTCAATACACAGGGATCTCATTTATTGATAAGTAGCAAATATAGTCGCATTAACCATTCCGTTCCAAAACTAATACAATAATTAACATTAGTATGAGTCAACTCCCAATCCTAGGCTGTCAATTTACTCAGTTTTTCTCACGTGTTCAGATCGATTACATAATAATAAGATATTTCTTAGCAACAAGAATCCAAAGTAGCTAAGAATACCAAGGAGAAAAACATGAAAATTTTACATCATCGTCTAATGAATAATGTCAAAAGACAAAACGTTAGGGAATCCCCCATTTTGAACAGTTACAGGCGCGGATCTGGAATAAGTACTGACCGATTTCCTAAACGAGGGCCGAAGGCGCAAGCACTATCTAATGGGGTCTGGGGGGCAGGCTTCCCAAGAAATGTTTTGGTGTTTAACTCTTTAAGTCCCCTTTCCAGGGTTTTCGAGTCACTCAGGTAGCATATTGCCCAGGTTTCAACATGGAAAGTGTTTTTTATTATTAAAAATGTATTTATTATGAAAAATCTGACCGATTTCCGTAAAACGGTGGAAACCGGTGTGGATCCACGCCTGAGTTAAGAATTTGCGCATCTCTCTAACGTAAATATTGCGTGACAAAGGTTATTTGAAAATATTTTGTTTTGTTGCTTCATAAGTCAAAGCAGTGATATACTTCCTCCTAATGAGTTTTAATTGTTTGTCGGAAAATATTTGACGAAGTTTCCTGTAGAGAGTGCGAATTGTAAGGTATTGAAACGCATAAACAAAGCTTGGCGCATGCAAGTTTGCTTTGTCGTAGTGTACACAGTTCTACGTCGACCAAGCTTTGTCATCGCTGGGATGAATACTGTAACAATTCTTTTCAATAGACAGGGATCACATTTATTGATAAGTGGTAAATATAGTCGCATTAAACCATTCCGTGTGCAAACTAATCGAATTAATATTTACATGGTTACAGTTATTGCTCCCTACTTCAAATTTCTGCACCAGCGATATCTCAGCGAACACTCCCAAACGTAACGAGCCAGCGAGATATCTCAGTCAGCGATATATCCCTAACAATGTAACTTTGAAAACACAGAAACGCGTTGCATTTTATGACCGATGCCAGCCTTCGGCTAGGCCCCGATAATTATAGAGTTACTCCCATGGTCGAATAGCTTCGAACGACGCAAATAGCCTTCTTCAGGTTCGCAACGCCTTGTGGGTTTTTCAGGGGGAGCGCAGACAAGGTACAAAAAGTATCCGTGCAAGGGTTCATGCAAGAGAAAACCCTATGAAACCATTTGTGAGAACGTCGTTTCAACGTACCAGACCCTGGTGTTTTCCCTCCCCCGGATGACCACTTTGTGACACCGAGGACCGAAAACCCATTTTATGACTGGGCTTGCCGGGCAGCCCAGTAATTATAGAGTGACTCCCATGATCGAATCGCTTCGAAAAACGCAAATAGCCCTCTTCAGGTTCGCAACGCTTTGTGGGTTTTTCAGGGGCAGCGCAGACGAGGTACAAAAAGTATCCGTGCAAGGGCTCGTGCAAGAGAAAATCATATGAAACCATTTGTGAGAACATCGTTTCTCGGTACCAGACCCTGGTGTCTTCCCTCCCCCGGGAGGCCGTTTTTCGCCGCAGACGACCGAAAGCCCATTTTATGACTGGGCTGCAGCACAGGCAGCCCAGTAACAAGAATCGCCGAAAGGCGATTTTTAACTGGGCTGCAAAGGGACTATTTTTTCTGAGGGGAGGGGGCGGCTATACACACTCAGGCTACTACAAAACCATGTCGCCGACCATTGCATGCGACAGAATCTTATGTGAGACTGAAACATAAACTCATTCAGAACATTGTACCCTTTTAAAAGACTTTCGTAACCAAAAAAAAAAGAGTACCATTTTTAAGTGGGGGCTGTAAAATTACTTTTAAAATCCACCATTATTAATAAAAATAAACAAGTTAGCCATTAATTCTAAGCCGGAAACGATTTGCATTATTTTCACGCACCCCTTCCCCAATCCGTCTGTTCCCCAAAATATAGCGTGACAGTATAACGTGACTAATTTGACGTAACCGGAAATTCTAAAAATTGTTGTCGTTCTACGAGCATAAAGTGCGACGGACGGAACTGATTTACACTAGACAGAAATATTGTATTGTATGAAAATTAAACCAGAAGTATACTAAAACAGACAGCCAACTGCCCATTGATCCCGCCTGATCCAGAGGTCTCTGACTGCACTGAGACTTTGCTGCTCTTTTCACAAACATGCGAAGGCCACCTTCACAATTTTGTTTTTCGCTGCCGTTAATGATAATTACGATCACAACCGACGAACCTCGAAACAGAGAAACACAAAACGGATCGAAATCCACAAATCGCAAACCATGACCTTTTGAACCCGTGAAGTAAAGTCTTGTTTCCTAAGAGGTCCGTTAAGATAAGATGATTGACAGCAGCGAAAAACGCAATCGTCGGTTTATTGGCTTTTGAACTTTAGAATTCGCATGTTTGTGAAACGTGCAGTAAATAGAGAATCCTAATTTGCGGTCTACAGTCTACATAAAAACCGGCATTTTTTTTTTCCACAAGATAAAAAATATTCAGTTTTAAGATTTTCCTCTTGGAATTTTTCTCTAACTTAAAGGAATAAAATCCTTTGCATTTTGTGACCCAAAAAAGTTTAAAGATTTCTCGCTCGCATGTTGCTTTCATCAGCACGCACTTCAAACAATGTAAATAGATGAAACGATCGACAACATATTTTTTACCTGATACCGATATGAGTTAAAAATTCGCTCGAGTTTATGGTTTGTCTCAGTCATGACTAACTTTTCTTCATGGACGATAACTATGGCGCTTTATAACTCGTCCGAAGTTTTTGTGCCAGCTAAACAATATGGACTATTCACAGTCCTTGGATATTTAAAAGACCGAACGTGACGCACTATTGTGACTTTGTTTACTTCTGATCACATCTTCAAGCGAAGTCTCTCTTTTCAAGCGATTCATCTCAATGCACATAATTGACCCCTATATTAGTTAAAATCCTATGGTTCATTTACTGGGTATATTAATGTTGTTTTTGCCCCTCACATTGACGGTGTTCGTTCGTATTCAAAACACCTTTAGGAAAATAAAGGTCATATAAGTCATGTGTATTATGTTTCGAGATAAATGGATTATACGCTTTTTTAAGTTTCCATTTTGCGGTGACTTCAGTTTACATCTCCATAAAATGGTAGAAGAAATATCAAGAAACATCATGAGAGGTGAAAATTTTCAAAGGCATGTTTCTGGAACTCGCTAATGCTGACATCAACATAGCGTGATTGCTGAATGGGCGAAAACACAGAATTGTGATCACAAGATCATGTACAAATTTAATGATAAAAGCTCATTAAGATACAGATACAAACAAAAGCAAACCCCCTGAAACCTCAACGTGGGCTATACTTGTATGCTCTACTCAGTCACCAAACCTTGTCAGTAATAGCTCCTATTTTCCTCAAGTCAAGCCTTGAACTCGTGTGCGAAATTCGCAGAGTTCCTATTTTTGTCCGTGTCTTCTTTATCCCCAGTATCCGAAATTTACACTTCCAAATTAAATAGAAGGAAATATTACAGGAAAAGCCAGTCTTCTAACATGGCAAAGTTGTCACGTCCCTCGCTCATGGACGTGCGTAACATCAGGATTCATCTGCCATTCATCGTCAACTGAGTTGTTCGCCTCATTGACTACGACAGCTTACAATCAAGTCTTCAGCCATAGTGTCGTCAACTGGTGAAATACTTTGCTCATAAATTGTGCTTCTTAATTGCTCATGTACTACAATACATCGATCGATAATTCTCTCTTTGAGTTCACGAAGCGGCCCAGGCGTTCCAAACCTGACGCTCACAGTCGTCTTTTAGTATGAACCTACAGTCAACGGCGTGTCGGTTTGTATGCAACGTGAGCATTTCTCTGGGTTTCACAGTGCCAACATCATCTAACTGACTTAAACTCGAACAATACAAAAAATTATAGAGTGACTCCTATGATCGAATCGCTTCGAACAACGCAAATAGCTTTAGGTTCGCAACGCCTTGTCGGTTTTTCAGGGGGAGCGGAGACAAGGTACAAAAAGTATCCGTGCAAGGGCTCGTGCGAGAGAAAATCCTATGAAACCATTGTGAGAACATCGTTTCTCGGTACCAGACCTTCGTGTCCTCCCTCCCCATGATGACGGTTTTTCGACACCGACGACCGAAAACCGAATTTATGACTTGGCCCCACAGGCAGCCCAGTAATTACAAGAAAAATAAGGAGTACTGAAAGCAAATGTACACTTAAAAATTTAAAACTGTTAAAAGTTTTTTCTTCTATTACAGTATCGCCAGGATAAAGCGTTTCAATTTCCCGGAAAATTTCACTTTCCTGTCAAAACAATCACTCAGACAGACTCGGATTAGTTTACTTGAATTTAGCCGCGTTCAGTACAGCGAACAGTACAGTCTGCGGCCCACATATCACTGATCCACGATTTATTTATTTATTTATTTTATTTTCAAGTTCTTTTTAACCGATCCTTCATCCCTGATTTCTCGATCCTCGATCCTCGATCCTCGATCCTGATTTTCCAGTAAACCATGAAGTTTTGCTTATTCTTTTTTTTTTCGACCACTGAAGTGATCAGTTGTTCCAAAATAATCAACGCTTTCAAGCCATAGAATTCTTGGACCAACCCGTTCCGGAAAAGCTCGATATGGGATTTCTATTAACTATGGACACGAAGTGCTGCAAGTAGAGTGTGCGGCTAGTCAAGTTCAAAGCTACCCGTATAAACACATCCGTGACACGTTAGGGTGGATTTCCACTGATGCGTTTTTGGCTCTGCACGTTAACGCACGTAAATTTTAATCACGTATATCAAATAGAGGTAAGACATAAAGTATTGAGATTAAACGTCAAATTAAGCGAGTTTCTACTTTTACGCTTACATAATTGTACGTGCAGCCTTTCATACATTGCCTTTATTTTATTTGCGAACCTATCAATTAAATACATAATTCAAAGTGAATCTATTTAACCATACATTTCCTGTAATTGCGACAATATTCTGAGAAACGTAACGCCTTAAAAAGCCACAAAATCCTAAGGATTTCGCCGCTATAATATTTTCTCATTCTGCTTGGGGATGTGCCTGCATGTCGTGCATAATTACACGAAAATCAAGGGCCTCCATTCGAGGAAAATTACGTCATTGCCAAACTTACATGCGTCATTTCAGTCATCGCCGAAAAAAAACCGCATTCTCATCACAAGACTCATTTCCATACCATGAAAGTCGTCACGATTCTTATACCCAGTTTCCACGGTCTTCGCTAGGAACGCGGGGCCTACAAACTAGGTCCCACCGACGGAAAGACCAACATCTTCACATGCAAATTGTGTGCATGAGTTATTTTTATAATTCTGTTTACTAGATTACTGTGTGATAGCTCGAATACCCTCACGTACGAACCACGAAAGGGGGCAAAGTCCAACACCTTCACGTGCCAGCTGTGTGACTGTACATCTCATGCAGATTGGCTTTTCACAATAATAATAGTAACTCTGACGTTTGAAGACCTGTTTCGTTTAGTAACCAATGCCCTAAAAAAGGCTCTTGTCTTTTAAGAAGCAATAGCTTTTAAAACATAAAGAAATAAGTTGTCGGAGTTAAAGAGTGTCTCACAAATTTTAATAAATGTTAAGTATCAACCTTGACGTTGCATGAAACATAATTTAATTGCAGATGTTGTAATGAAGCCGAGGTGATTTCTTAAAATCGCTTGAGAAAATTTTGTAGTAAACAATTTGCCTTTTTTTTACGTACGAATTGTAGAAGGGTCAAAGACCAACATCTTCACGTGCAAATTGTGTGCAAGAGTTATTTTTATAATTCTGTTCACTAGTTCACTGTGTGATAACTCGAATTCCATCACGTACGAACCACGAAAGGGGGCAAAGTCCAACACCTTCACGTGCCAGCTGTGTGACTGTACATCTCATGTAGATTGGCTTTTCACAATGATAAATAGTAACTTGGACGTATGAAGACCTGTTTGGTTTTGTAACCAATGCCTTAAAAAGGCTCTTGTCTTTTAAGAAGCAAAAGCTTTCAAAACATGAAGAAATAAGTTGTCGAAGTGAAAGACTGTTTCACTGAGTAGAATCGCACGTGACAACTTCGTGAATTATGATGATGCAACCATCTACCACAATGATAAAAACCCTGGTATTTCGTAACTATTCAGTATTCGATGAGTCACATTTGGGCTTAAGAAACTCCGAGGAAACCTTGGAGTTTTCCTTCTAATCAACGTTTGGTGAGTAGAAATTTATTTTACTTTAACAATTTGTTTAACTTGCACCAGATGTAACAGGGAAAGACAGAGGAAAGTGAATATATAGGTTGAGGATCGACTCAGCTGAGCGTTTCGCGTTTTCATTTATGTAGCGCAATACCCAATTTCGCACAAAAACCAAATCATCACTCTTGGTAAGGTTACACCGAAGTATTATAGTTACACTAAAGCATTCAAAATAGCTCATGCACGTTTAACGTGCCTATGTTACTCCCTAACGCTATTGTTTCTACTTAAGTTACTCATCTTTACTAAGTAAAATACGTTTCAATAACTGTAATGCTTAGTTTGCAGAAAGGATGTATCATGTTGTTCACTTGTTATTATTTTTTTGTTTTGCCGGAACGAAAAAAAAGGGTCTGTTGAACTTTGTACGCGAGAGAAAAGTAATTTAAAAGCTTGTTTACAGAATTAACAATACTCGGTACAGCTTTAAAAAAAATAAGCTGCCTTTCAAACTTGTAAAACCACATTTTAAAGGCCGCAAACGGTTTGGAAACTAAACTTTCGAGGACGTTTTTGGACTTTTTACATTTAGGGCATGAATTTTTCGTCATTTCAGGCCATGGAACCTAAAAATGAGCCTAGCTAGCTGTAAAAAGGGGCAATACGGAGGCAATACGTCCTAGCCGGCATGATCACATGCTGTTTAAGGAAAATTCCCTCATCAATGTCAGGAAATTCGGTATTTTAAAGCCTCCCCTAGGGCATGACTCAGCAATTGAGGACATTTCTGCTACGTTTTCAATGTTGGTAAGCATGCAAGGATTTTTCGCATGCCTATCGTCAATGATTTGCTCACTGGTAGTAGAGGGGGTGGCCCCAGAGTGGTTTTGCATTGAAATTGGCATGCAACAGAATTTCGCATGTCCTGTAAGCATAATTTGAGGTTCTGTGACCTTCTCACCCAGGCCGCGAGAAGCCTAGGTTCTAGTAATAAGTAATTCATACCCAGCAAAATCTCCGGCATGCCGGGCATGCCAAATTTTCTGACATGCCCGGCATGCTAAATTCTCTGGAATGCCGGGCGTGCCATAATCTGGGTCATGCCGGGCATGCCAAAATCGGTCTCTGGCACGCTCTCAACGCACAGGTTATAATTCCTTGAATCTACAGATATTTTAAGCGTGGCTAAAAAAAAAAAAACTAAACAGATCACAGTGCTTATCTTTTGATGACGTCATTGCTATTCCTTTCATTTTCATAGATTTGGTTGTCCCAGCGAAGTTTAAATAACAAAAGCTCTAATTTTCACAAGAAAGTAAAACCCTGAGGGATTCTGCCGAAGTACTAAAACAGCGTCATCGTAGAGATGACCTGTTGGGGGATGCTAAAAACTCCTCACCCCTTTTAATGAGTCTTTAATAGGATTCCCACTTCACATTGCGAATAAAATGGAATTGACTGAAATCAGTAAAAAGAGAGACAGAGACTATTTTCATTGTATAATAAAATGCATCTATGTTCCATGAAAGCTTTTAAAAATACAAGGTTATAGAATATCTTTCAAAGTTCATTACAAACTGAGCTAAGCCCCAAAATCTCTGTTCATTATTCAGTAAATTATGACATTGGACAATGCAATGTGCTTGAATATAACGTTGCAATTACAAATCTCTCTAACGCAATTTTCCCTACGTTAGAAAAGCTGTTTTTATCTTGTTTCACATTTTGATAAGGAGTCTGAGTTCCTCTCTCTTGTTTTGTAGGCTTGCCAGAGATTAATGTTTTTGTGTCATTACCAGTGTCTGTGTTCTTTGTCTTTAACTCAAAGTAAGTCAGTAATAACTGACAGTATCAAAGAATTGCTCTCTAGAAAAGTAATTATCTCCTAGTCATGTCTGGAAGTTACCTGTAACAAAAAAGAAATGGAATGTTAACACAAGCAAGGGCAATATGAGAAAAAGAAATAGAACATGTAGAGCTCAGCTTCTCTTAACATATTTTCATACTGGCTTGTTGAGTCTGTTAAAGGTCGCAACTAATTGTCTGAGGCTAATTTCACAAGAGTGTGCAATTGAGATAAATACATGGTAAATAAAAAGAAAGAAACGGGGTTTCACATTAGCCAATTTATTGCGTTGTTCGATGATGTTTACACGCTTTTCTACTGCGAAATAAACCTTTGCATTTGGATTTGCAAGTAAAGATCATACCGAGTTTGACTGACACTTAATTGAACAACAGTTTCATTTTTAAGCAGGCAAGGTGTAGACCCATATAAAGCCGGAATATGTAAAAGAAACTCAGCGAAAACTTTTTCGTATCTTTTTGTGGCGATATTCTCTCACGGCCCGTCAACTGATTAGGGGTTGCGAAGAAAAAATAAATTAGGACCAAAGGTTAAAGCCTGTCCGGTTACATCATTTCGTATTTTACCTAGAGTTCTAATAAATAGGTCATAAAATAGGATTTAACGAGAGCTAATTTGTTTCTCAATCGGTGTATAAAAAAGTGAGGCTATCAAATGAGAAGTTTATAGAGTATCAAAATTATTAAATTAAAAGCTCATATAATTAGGAAAATTCCTATACGAAAACAATGCTAGTGACATTAAATTTAATCAGATAAAATTCTCAGAAAATATGTCGAATAAAAGCCTCATTGTTTGCTTTTGTTTTTGCGTAAAGGTAAATTTTTCGGCCCACAAAGCAAAGTTGAAAAAGCGACTAAATCTTAGTTTTTTACATTGAACATGTTTATTAGCTTAGTTTTCGTCCGTTTAAAAGCTTTATAACCCAATCATAATTTTCGGGTTAAAATAGTACAAAATCATTTCAAAAACCATGTTCATTTAAAGTAGAGCCGGCAAACGTGAACATTTTGTAATTCAAAAGTCGGACCCAGCCAGGTTGTTTAAGCTTACAATTATTTGCATTTTAGCGTCCTATAAATTTACCAGAATCGCCCCTCAGAGGCTTACTGTAGCAAAGCATTTTGTAGTACACTCGTAGACAAGCAATGTAAGCCTTAAGTCTTTGCTTGGATGAGATGTCCAAAAGAAAAATTAGTTTTGTGGACCTAAACGAACATTCACAGACTGCTTATATTGAGTTGTTTACAACTTTGCATTGACACGCGAAGCGTGATGACGTTGCTCAAAGGATTATCGTCAGCAAGGAGTAAAACAGTTTGCGAGATTCGCATAGCCGACAAGGAGCGCACTGAAAAACTAAGCAAAATCCCTCTGAGAAGGCAGTCCAAATTCACCAAATCAGAACGTCTTTGCAGTATTAACGTCGTACTCTCGTTCTGACTTGAACGACCTGGTAAGCTTCATTTTCACCAGTCTTTTAAGGCTGTTGACCGGGAAACATTCCGACGCGATAAAACTTAAGCATGGATAAGTTTATACTGAGAAGATTTGTTATCTTATGGTTTAAGACGCTTTTCCGCGATCAAATTTAAATCTGGACCCAGAAATGTCAGTATCGGTCTGAAATAAAAGGATTAATCTTTGATTGCAAGTCAAGTATTCTATTTTATGCATGAATAATGTTGTTTTGTTGTGCTTTTTATTTATAAATCCAGGCTTCTGTCTTCAGTTTTGCCAGTCGATCTCGTGACACACGTGACAAACATGACTTTTTTTGTCATAATCTGCATTTATTGCCAGGCATGAAACCTGTAACTTCAAGCTCCTTAAGATATATTTGGCGATTATATGTGATTCGCAGGATATGATGCTGAAGCGAAAATCAAAATCAGTCTCGTTGGGCATGCCAATTTCTTGCCTGGCATGCCGGGCATGCCAACCAAGTGGCTTCACCATCGGCATGCCCGGCATGCCAAACCAGAGGAGCAAAAACTGGGAATGAATTATCAACCCGGCGAGAGATCTGGGACCTAAGTTTAGCTGGGTCAATTTTGGGCTGCGAGGGCATGAACCCATTTTTTCCATGCCTGTGAGATGTTATTTCTAAGTACTAATGTTCCTTTGAATTTTGTCATGCCTAAATGTATAAAATTTTCCCTCTCTCATTTATCCTCAGACTGGATGCGATTTTTACGTTCGCTAGGCATGTTCAACTGAAAATCATGCCCATACCCTTATTCAAAACAAAATGCTATCAAATTTTAGTTTCCAAGCCGTTCGCATACTTTCAAATTAAAGTCCATATCGAAAATATATCAATTATTGCTTCACTGGAAGAGCTTTGAAAATATATGATCTTTTATACTCTACCTTGAAGCGGGTGAAACACAACTCATAAATACGTGCGTGGTACCGTTCGCGATAGCCGAATCGGTCACAAATGTCTTGAAGCAGCATCCACACTAAAATATGAACCCTTAAACAGCTGCATCACTGTTCACAGCGTTTGAATCACGAAGATATTTTATGTAATGCTTCCAAACACCTGTACCCGTAATAAAAGACGAAAAAATTGTGAAGGATCAAGATGGCGGTCTCAAATAGCCTCCCCGCAGACGTCCGTTGGGGTTCGGTTGTCACGCATTCATTTCTCCCAAATGAATGCGTGACAACCGAACCCCAACGGACGTCTGCGGGGAGGCTAGGTCTCAAAGTGCCCTTGTTCGACCTTTACCAATGCCATGTTTAAATAGATGCCAAGATCTCATTAGTTCCTAAGCATCAACTCATAGTATCTTCAACCTTATTGGCTCTTGCAACAAACATCCCAACATACAAAGATACAAAGCCACAAAGATACATACGCTCACACCACTGACATATGAGTAGCCTGCGAAAACATCCGTTTCTCCTCGCTCTTCGCCGATGGGGACGTTTCGCGCGGAGGAACGTCTGCGACTCAGCGACAGAAATTCCATACTGATGACGTAAATCTGTCCGGAATCCGGTCAGAAGCGCTGATTGGTCGACGGAGCAGTTACATTGTTTTAGCTCTTGTTTACAAATGAAAGACAAAAGACAAAAGCCCACAAAGGTCAAAGAATCTCTAACTAAACAGTCAATATTTGTGGAATATAGTCTTCTCTTGAAGAAGCATTTGAGTTTTGTTGAGCTCGTTCGCAGATGAACACAACACTTTACCAAAATCGACCAGAACACAGGTAAAATTGGACAAATTTGTATTTGGATCCCCATGACTACTGGATTTATTATGTAAACATTGGTTCGCGTCATCAGTATGGAATTTCTGCCGCTGAGTCGCAGACGTTCCTGCTCGCGAAACGTCCCCGGCGGCGAAGAGCGAGGAGAAACGGATGTTTTCGCAGGCTAACATATGAGCTATTTTTTCAAAATAGCTCAAAAAAGGAAGAAGGGAAAAATAAGGTCTTTAGCAGAATTTGAACCAAGTACCTTCGGGTTGACCCGACGTCACATAGCTACTACGCCATTGAGGATGGTCACATGATTTGACGAAAAGTCTCAAGTTTAATGCCTTTTCCATGGAACTTCCGCCGGCAAACGACCGGGGCAAACGATCGAGCCATACTTAACCGATTGAAAAAACGACTCGAAGCAATCGGATGAAATTAAGGCTAATTTACTGACAGTAAAAAACAATGTAAACGCATTTCATGGCAATGAAAGAACATAAGCGATACAAAGCCGACACAACTCCTCCGCGAAGGAGGACGCAAAACATTAGCTTATGTTTTCTTATCTCGATTTCCGCTGTTATTTTAAAGATAATGCTCAAACACATATCCATTTCCCCCCGTTATATTGGGGAGTCCTTAAGAAGAAGAAGAAGAAGAAGAAGAAGTGCCTTTATTTACCATACATTTCACCAGTCCATATTTTATACCCAGTCCGCAGTCCGTAGTCTGCAGTCCGTGTTTTATACTGACCGCCATAAATTCATTCAGACACATAACCTACTACACTACTACAAGGTAGGAGATCAAGCCAGCGACGAAGTTGAAGGAGTCGAAGAGCAAATGCTCATCTTCTCGTCCAGTTTAACGCCTGGACGGGTCAAAGGCTTTTGAATCGCACTAATTTGAAAGATTCCTGCGTGTCTTAAATTTGGTAAGACCTATATGCTAACCGTGCTGTAGCGCACGATGCACACCCTCAGCGAGGAATTTGATGCTACCGAACTTCGGCGAGCGCGTGCTTCTTTGGAAACGATAGATCTTCGCGCTCTCGAGTTCGGACCTAGCCTCCCACGCAGGCATTTTTAGGGGAGCTCGTATTTCTTCCCTCCCCACAAACGCCTGCTCAACGGAAAACAACATTCCTTTCTCATTGTTTTATTTGCGTTGTAAGTGACCAATCAACAATTGTGCAATAAAGTGTTGACAGGCTAAACACGACTGAACGTGACTCTAGAGTTACCGTTTTCCTTCTTTTCTTTCCTTCGCTAAGGTTATGCAGTGCACGGAGTATTCTGAATTTTGACTAAATCTTATTTTTGTCGCTCTGAATCTAACATTTATTGCAGGTCAGAAAGCTTTCGCAGTGTTTAATGCAGATCGAGTAATTATCAGATTACCTTGCGGTCAAGGTCAACTTTCCAGTATTTGGAAAGTACAATGTGATTGGCTAAGCCTGGGAAAGGAATGTTGTTTTCCGTTGAGCAGGCGTTTGTGGGGAGGGAAGAAATACGAGCTCCCCTAAAAATGCCTGCGTGGGAGGCTAGTTCGGACCCGATTAATTACGAAGTGCGTCTAATTCGAGTGAGCGAGTGACTCATTTGCATATCTCTGTCCCTGCAATAACTCGTGATACGCTCGCGCGTACCCACGAGTTAAAAAGGATTCTGGTCGTAGTAGTAAAATAACGCCATCGTGCAAATGGCCTATTTTCATAGTGAAGCAAGTTGTTTTGTTATTTCAGGTATAAATGCTCATAAATGTACAAAGACCCAAGGTACTTTTCAGTCAGGTCTTTGAAAAAGCGAACTGCGACGCTTTTAAAAATGTTTAATGTAAAACGGCAAGAGCCATAATAGGACAGGTCCTATTATCATCTCTTGAAAACGGTCCATTGTTAACTACTATTATACTACTACATAAGAAATTACTGCAATTTGATTGGCTTAGACCAGTAGTATTTCAGCTTAATTTGAAATACCTACAAGTGTGAATTACAAAACCATTGCGGGTGGTAGTAAAAGCAAATAATAGCATGATTTGTACGTGATATTTGGCATAAATACCACTCGTGATTTTTGTCTCAAATTTCACTCGCCTAACGGCTCGTACTCGTAATTACGTATAACAATTTCGAAATATCACCCGTGGTATTTATGCCAAATATCACTAAAAAAAACAAATCATGCTATTACCTATACAAATACTGACCTATTTTTAGGATAAAACAAAGTTTTAAAACTTTGTTTTTGTATTGTAGTGTTAATGATATGGATAGGGAATACTGTAAATCACCTCTGAAATAAACATAAACACTGCTCCCAAAGAAAAATAGAAGTGCAAAACACTGCTCCAAAAGAAAAATAGAAGCTGCACTTCTATTTTCTTCTTCTGTTATCCATGGTTCAGTTGAGCTGTTTGCAAGAGGGGCAAACTGAAATGGCGTGATGGTGGCGCGTTTTGTTTTTCTCTTTCTTGCGCGCGCCAATTTCCGAGAAACTTCCAAGAAAATGGACGTCAAAAACTGTCCATGTTATTGTAAAAAAAAACAAACAAACCCACACAAAACGAGAACAATTTTTCAGAGAAATGAAATCAAAATGTTCAAAACCTTGCCGTGAAACTTCTCGTCACTGCTGGTGGCTCCACTAGCGTTTTGAACACCTTGACGTCATTCTCATGATCGATAACTTTAAGAGTACAGACCATACAAAAATTGCCAATTTGTTAAATTAAATACCGATGGAAATTCTCCATAGGCATGCAGTTATGACTTCTCGCTTGACGAATCATGGATTAATATTGCTTAAGGAATGCTTTTTTCATTTTCGTCCATATGCTATAGTGCTGTTTTTATTATCAAAGTTCTCACAGCTGCGATTTCAGAAACTCTTCAGTTATTATATCAATTACCGTAAATGGTATGAAGAAGACAAACCACTTATAATCCGCTGTAAGTGAGGCTAAAACCTGGGTATTTTTGTTGATAACTAACACAGAATTAGCTGTTCTTTCATCGTTCATACATATAGTACCTGATAAACGTAGACATGAAATGAATCGCAGGTATGAAAGTAACAAGCTTTAAACAAAACCAAACGTTTATAGTTGAAACCACAAAATGTTGTCAAAGAACCGAAAGAAACCAAAAGTAGAAAAACTTACAAGAACTGAAACGCATTTTAACTTTATGAATCGTCTTCACAAACATAGGTCATATGATGTTCATAGTGTTGAAGAAGAAGAGCCTAACTACTCATTTCCTCTTGACACATCCAACAGCTGTGTTTCTCAATGACGAGTGATTGCGGGTCTGCCACACCACTGTTTCCAGTCTCTCTGTGTGTTCGCAGGTTGTTTGTAAAGCCTATGGCCCTAAAATCAACGCTTTTACCTCCTGTTCTCCTCTGTTTACATGATTCCAAACGTTTAGACAGACTTTTGTTCTTCTTGGAAAATTTACGCGACTTTAATAGAGTGTGGATTCTTTCATGCTTCCTCAGGTTAGTTGGTTGGTTAAAACACTTGCCACAGTGTTTACATTCGTAAGGCTTTTCCCCAGTGTGAACTCTTTCGTGAATCTTTAGGCTCCCTCTGTGACTAAAACATTTGCCACACTGTTTACATTCATAAGGCTTTTCTCCAGTATGAACTCTTTCATGAATCTTTAGGCTTCTTGCTTGGCTAAACCATTTGCCACACTGTTTACATTCATAAGGCTTTTGTCCAGTGTGAACTCTTCCATGTCTCTTTAGGTTTCCTAAATCATTAAAACACTTGCCACACTGTTTGCACTCGTGAGGCTTTTCCCCAGTGTGAGCTCTTCCATGAATCTTTAGGCTTCCTGCTTGACTAAAACATTTGCCACATTGTTTACATTCATAAGGCTTTTCACCATTGTGAACTCGTCCATGAGTCTTTAGGCTTCCTGCTTGACTAAAACATTTGCCACATTGTTTACATTCGTAAGGCTTTTCCCCAGTGTGAACTCTTCCATGACTCCTTAGGTCTCCTGCTTGACTAAAACTCTTGCCACACTGTTTACATTCAAAAGGCTTTTCGCCAGTATGAACTCTCTTATGACGACTTAAGTGTCCTGATTGACTAAAACACTTGCCACACTGTTTACATTCAAAAGGCTTTTCCCTAGTGTGGACTCTTTCATGAGTCCTTAGGTGTCCTGCTTGGCTGAAACGCTTGCCGTACTGCTGGCACTCAAAGGACATTGAGCTTGTTCCTCTTTTCAGGTGTTATGGTTAGGATAAACTTTGTATTCAGATCTGAGAGTCCCCTGTTGTTTGTAAAATAACAAACAAACACAATAATTATTGCTGATAAAGACTCATTATCCTCCCTTGGGTTTTTGATTTCAAGAAAGCTTGAGGTTGGCTGGGAGAGGGGGGGTTACTTAATGTAGCGAAACCCATCACCAATAGCAGAAGGAAGAAACAGACTAGTGTCACAGTTCTGACTTCCTGTTTGGATCAGGAAACAACCAACCAACCAGGAGATGGGATTAATTTTTTTTAATAACAAAGTAAAATGTAAAGTAGAAATGTTCGTTCAAATGAGGTGGGATGTCTGTAACTTAAGATAAAAAACAAATCTGAACTTCCAGCACTTGAATAAACCATACTGAATGACTCCACATAAAGTATTATAGTCATGATCAATAAATACAGTCAATCACTTTTTAATTTAAAAAAGGGGGGCTGGAGAGGGTAGCATGATAACTTCCTCTAATTATGGTATTTGGGCACCTCTACAGAGGACAGAGAGCCTGGCTTGGTCATAACCTAAGGCATGGGAAGAGAGACCACCTAGAAGACATGGAGTGGGAATGCTGGATAGAGCAACAGATGGCAGCCCTTATGTGGTCAAACGGGAGGCCTTAGCTTGAGAACTATAAGGAAGGATCTGCCTGTGGGAAGAAAACACACACACACACACACATACAATGCAGACCTCTCTCACAAAATTGAAGGGGCCTAGCTGTAGTTAAATTTCTGCTATTCCAGCAACAAGAAATTTTTTGTGAAGAACTTTCTCTAATTATGGTTTTTGGGCACCTCTACAGAGGACAGAGAGTCTGGCTTGGTCATACCCTATTCCATGGTGATCTTGTCCCATTAGCTATTGAGGGAAGAGAGGCCACCTGGAAGAACTCGAGTGGGAATGCTGATTAGAGTAAAGGATCGTGGCCCTTATTCAGTGGTCAAAAGGCCACCTTAGATCGAGAACTATACGGAAGGACCTGCCTGTGGGCAGAAAACACATTCACACACACAAGGCAGACCTCTCTCAGAAAAGTGAAGGGGCCCAGCTGTAGTTAAATTTCTGCCATTCCAGTAACAAGAAAGGAACCTGGTTAATAAGGACTCCCAAGAAACATACATAGGTTTCTCTATAATCAGAGGGTGTGTATTACGCAGGCTCCCATCACAAGAAACAGTGAAACCTGTATTTAGCAGAACACCCTCTACTAGCAGGATCATTTTGACAATTACTGCACTTCACATCTGAGGCACCTCTTAAACTATTGTAAACTAACTACTATAACCATACAACATATGCATTGTACACAAACTGATTATCTCTTTACGGTGACTGCATGCAAATGTCAAGGACAAACACAGACTGGAGGACAGAGAGAGAGCAGCGACTGTCAGGCCACTTGCATTAGTGAAACCAGTAGTAGGAAATGGTGATTCCAACAACCACATTGTTTAACATCATTTAGAGATGAACAATCAAATTGACTTGGACTCTTCAACATGCAATACATATTATTCTACAGACTACTTACTATCACTTTGGAAAAGTGAACTTATTGATTGACTCAAACAAAACCGACAACAATAAAATGACTGAAAACCCAACTAAATATTTTGGCTAAGGGCCTGTTTACATGGAGGTGGAGGACCCCAGGTAGGTGAGGTGATCTGCTTAGGGGTAACCCGCCTGTCCACATAATCTATCATTTTAATTTCATCACATTTACATGATAGGTGGGGTGACCCACCTTGACGGGTATCACAGTCTGCTAGGGTACCCCTCTCAGCTGGAAACAAATTTGCCATGTAAATGTTTCAAGGTGGGGTTACCTGCCTAGGTTGGGTCAGATTCACAATACATCAAATTCGTGCAAAATTCACTTTGGTGGTGGCTTTGCATCATTATTAAAGGTAACAATAGAAAGCGACAGCACTGAAGGTTGCAGCAAGAGCAGCAAGTGAGTGTACAGGAGCAGTAATTGCTAAAACACATGGTTTGCCAGAATTTTTCTCGCTACATGCTTAGCAATCATTCAATAATCTTGAGAAAGCGCACCCTGGGATGATGGGGTTGCAAGATTGCATATAAAGGAGAGTTATTTTGTTACCCCACCTATGCAGGTTACCTCACGTACCGGGGTGCCCCATTGACATGTAAACAGGCCCTAACAATACATGTACAGTTTTATACTAAAAAGACTTGATAACTGCAACCAAAGATTGATTAAAATGCTCTGGTCAAATTAAGTCTTCGTCGCCACTAACGTCATGGCTTAACTGACAATTGACAAATTATTATCATCTTGATTAAAATGATTAATCAAGTCAATAGCCACAATTTGATTAGGTTCAGTAATATTATTGAACAAACTCACCCAAAACTGATGAACTGACTGTTCATCGCAAAAGTTTTAGTGTGGGGATATATGGATTCACTTATATTGACTCACATGTACGGAATCAGCAATGCAGTTTTGTAAAGCACATAGAGTTGTTTGACAATTAAAGTCAACATGATTTTGATAGATCAAACAAAGTTTCATTGTTAAATAATTATATCAAAGATTACATGTTCATTTATAGCTCTTTTAAAAAAGGACATCCTTACTATCTAATTTCAGGGAAGTGAGAGTTTTGCAAAATGCTTCAACTGATAGACTGTTTTAATGTTGCAACTCCATTTTGATCAACATTTTCTGACAGTTTTGTCATCTTGGCTATATCATCTACACTATTTTGTCAAATATACGGTTTACAGTACAGCTCAAAAGTAAGTTAGCAGCCTCTCGCGAGATGTGAATCATGTGACAGGCTACACGATTCTCTCTGTGTACCATGTGATTCCTGTAGTGCACTATGCGATTGATGTAGCGCACCATGGCCTAAAAACTGTAACTATCATGGCCAAAATTCTTGAACGATTCCAAGACTCAGTGCTACAGCTTTACTAGGACTAAAATGCGTAAAAATTTTTACCTATGCATCCTGTAGACTGTTGCGTATAATCCACTTTGTGGAGGATTGGTATTTACGTATTTCTGCAAAACATGCTTTTAAAAAAGTCACTTTAAAATCACTGTGCCACCTTGAAAACTACATTTTTTTCTAAAAACTTTGAGATAATACAAAATTTAGCTTCACTTGTAACTGCCTGCAGGTTTTGTTAAATGGTTCAAGCTGAAATGAATCGTAGACCGATTGGCAAAGCTTCCAAAAGGGCTGTCATAACTTTTGACTTCCTTTAAACAAACGGATGTTCCAGCGGACTCTACCAGAAGAAATCTATACTGGATATTTGAAAACCACACAGTTCATTAAGCTGTTTTTAAAGTTTAAGCCAGTAAGTTTATCAGAGCACTGAAAACTGAATGTTTTCAGAACGTGTAGTATACAAAAACAGTCCTTAAGGAGTAGGTTTTTAAATTACACATGTTTTGACTCTGTGCAGATTTGCAATTTGCTGTCACGCAAAAAATGTTATTCAGCAAATGCACTGTTGCCTTCTTTGGCCGCTATAATTTGTTAAATTCAAGACAATTTTCTTTCATAAATCAAGCAGAAACTGGTGTTAAAAGCTATGAAGAACAAATTAAGCTAACATTACTTCGTGATTGTAAGCCAAGTTGAATTTTTAATAAAGATGCTGTTGATATCTCGTCAGTGAAAGTTGCCACTATGCATGAACTACAACTAGACACATCATAGAATAGAATAGAATAGAAACTTTATTAAAGTGTCAAAAAACCGTCTAGCCAGGGAACAAATCCCTTACTAATTTGGGGACACCAATTAGGGGAGAATATACAAACTAAAAACTATATACAGTAGTAGGTAAAATATCTATAGTTAACTAATTAAGAGATTTATAGTAAAAATACACAGAAGTCAAAATGAACAAAGGCTACAGCCTGCGCAGCCATCATCTAAAAGTTCACTTATATTGAGTTGGCGTATCTTGCTTTTAAACGACGTTAGGGTTGTGACGTCCCTGATACTCTTGGGTAGTTTTGTCCATAGCCTAGGCCCTAAATATCTAATAGAGTGCTTGCCATAGGTGACTGTCTCATACCTAGGTATAGAAATCTGCTTGCCGCAGATTGTAATTACTATTTGGTTCTTTAAAGATGTTACTTATATATGCAGGGCACAGTTTATGCTTTACTTTATACATAAGGATGCACAGATCCTGTAAGCGACTATTTAGTAGTGTTGGCAGATCTGCCTTCTCTAATAGTTGTTCATAACTAGAATTATTATCCTTGAAAACCGCTCTAAGTCCTCTTTCTTGTAGTCTTTCAAGCTTTCGAGTGTCACTCGCTTTACAAAAATGCCACACTAGGTGACAGTACGTGAGGAATGGTAATATCGCGCTTTTGAATAATATTAACTTAGATTTCATAGGAATTAAATTACGTAGTCTCATTAGAACACCAATTCTCTGGCTGGCTTTTTTTTTACAGATAGAGATTACATGCTCAGAGAAATTTAGCTTAGAATCTAACACTACTCCTAGAAGTATGATATTATCTTTAGTTTCAATCACAACATCATTCACGCAAATATTGCTGTCATTTTGAGTGAAGCCCAAGTTCAAAACTTGGTACTTTTTGAGGTTTCCCGCCAATAAATTAGAATCGTACCACGTTGTTGCTAAGTTGGCACTATCCTTTAACTGGGAAGTCACAGCTGCCTGGTCTGCTCCTGCGTGGTAAATTTGATGGTCGTCGGCATACATAGACAAGTTCGCTGTTAGGCAGTAGGATAGGTCATTCTGGAAAACATTCCATAACAACGGGCCAAGCGCGGAACCCTGAGGACAGCCACGACTCACGAATCGGCTCGAACTAACATGACGGCCGATCTTTACTTGATATTTCCGTTCATTTAAATAGCTGTTTAAAAGTTGAATAGCGCTTTCCTGAAAACCGTACGCTTCAAGCTTGTTCAGAAGT